TACAGTGTCATAACTGTTTTGACGTCGCATCTCCCGAAGACTGCCTACAATTTGTTACCTGCGGACAAGATGAGGTAAGTACATCAGTGAATATCACCTTGTCCGGAAACAATTTGTAAATATACCGTTATCTTTATACTGGTTAGCGTGCATGCTTCGTGTTGCAAAACTGTAACATGTATGCTGAAACTATTGCATTTCATTCATCATGTGTCGTGAAGACCCAGGTTACCTTTGGTCTTCATAGATCCATGCGATTACCGGTTGACAGAGTAATGTAATGGTATTCCATTTGCGTAAATCGATGTTAAAGATGTTGATAAATAGATTGGCCGGTCCATACGCGATTTCTAACAGGGCTGCAATACTGCCGAGTGAGTGAGGCAGAAAACAGCCAAAACAACCAGTGAGTGTGAGTGAGTTACAATTTATAGTCACATCGGCAATATTTCAGCCATATCGTGACTAAAAGAGTTAATATGATAACAATAGATAATATAATATAAAATCTGTCAACAAAGGACAGTAAAACATCTAGAATATCACAATTTGAGGTATTAAAACTAGCATTTACCTAAAACAAATATGACTATTACGGACAATACAAAATAAAAATAGGCTATAGATCGCCAACAACTGAATCTAGATCACCGTACTAGGGACCATGGGGTACACCTGAAAAACAGTTATCATATTTCGATATTATAGCAATTACAAGTGATATGTGTCTACATGGGCTTGTGTCCATGAGAGAAATGACCACATGTTGCTTTACATAACGACTCATGACTGGAATATTACTGAGTGCGGCGTTAAACACTAAACAACATACCTTCGTTATGCTCTCATGTGAATATTCTCAGATACTGATCGATACAATTAAACGTGACTATCTCACGTAATAGTTTATGTTCAACAACATATTTATCCCTGTCTAGCTTGAAGGTCCGTTTCAAATGAAAGTAGCATCAAGCTTTCCTTCAAATGCGGCCTGGGGTAGCCCAGTGGTTAGAGCATTCGCCCGTCACGCCGAAGACCCGGGTTCGATTCCCAACATGGGTACAATGTGTGAAGCCCATTTCTTGTGTCCCCCGCCGTGATATTGCTAAACGCGGTGTAAAACCCAACTCACTCACTCACTCTTTTAAATAAAACAAGGCTGAAGAGTCAGGTTTCGTTAATACTGCGACGTTTTTGTTTTATGCGTACGCGAGTGAAATGTGAAGATTGTGCTCCTATTGATTGATGTGTTTGATAAAACTAGCAGATAAACAGTATTTCCACTTTCTGTGATTAAATGTGAAAGTGAAAAAATAAAAGTACATCTGGTTTGTTGACTCTCAGACAAGGTTTGATATTATCTACAAAATAGAAGTTGTGATATTGATTGAAATCTTACCTTAAAACAACAATAATCGTTTTCTTGACAACAATGTACAATCATTATTCCTGGTAATGTTCCAACACAGATAATGTGTCTTATGAAAGAAGCGCTGTGACCTTTGACCTGTCTTTGTAAAAGAATCAAAGATAATCATCTTACAGAAACCCAGTAATAAAATGAAGAAGTTCATTCATAGTCAATGTTTTCAATGTTGTGTTTTCAATGTCATCTATTTGAGATACGGTATTCTATTCTCATATCGAATTGTGCAACATATATACAGAATATTGCTCGTCACACCAGCCGACCGGGTTCGATTCCCCATATGGTTCCAATGGGTGAAGCCCATTTCTGGTGTTCCCCGCCCTGATATTCCTGGAGTGAGTGAGTTAATATTTAACGTCACATCGACAATATCTCAGCCATATCGTGACGAAAACAATTTATACAATAAAGATGAAAACATTCTGAAGAGTAAAACCTGTTGGCGTTGGACAGTAAAAATACTAGAGTATCACAGATATGACTATAAAACTAGCATGTAAAACTAAAACATTATAATTAAAGAAGACAATACGATATAAAACACGGGCTATAGATCGCCAACAACTGAAGGTAGATCACCATGCGCGGGACTATGGTGATATTGCTGGAATATTGCTGAAGCAGCGAAAACCTAAACTCACTGTTTTTTGACGCGTATTTTGAATAGATATTCCTAATAACACTCTGAATAACTACTCCGAGTAAATGCCTTGAATAAATGTACGATGACGTGATTAGCATGCCGTGGGTTAGTTCAGATCCCACAGTCGGCCCAGCCATCAAGTGATTTTAAAAAAAAAATGTATAACGCCGCACTCAGCAATATTCCAGCTATGTGGCGGCGGTCTGTAAATAATCGAGTCGGGACTAGACAATCCAGTGATCAACAGCATGAGCATCGATCTACGCGTTAGGGATACCATCATAACATGCGTTAACCGTGTCAGCGAGGCTGACGACACACTGACGGTTGGGTTCAACATGGGTTCCTGATGTTCTCGGGTCAGTCATCGAGAGACAAATTCATTATGATATGACGTTTTAATATGCATGTTTAATATATGTTTTAGTTGTGCTGAAACAATCAGCACAAACTGTATATCTACGTGGTACACGAATGGTGTTAAGACTCTTACAATTGTGATATGCTGGGTTGGCTACAATTAGCGATAATTGGAAATATCGTAGATAAGAATGGATTGTTAGTAATTGTCGATATATAAAATTGTGATGTCGACAACATCGTACATGTACTTTTGCGATGGAAAAATGTTAATTTTCTCACATAATATACACATTTAGGTCTCTGATCATGGTCTGCTTCTAAATTATATTCACGACTGAACATTGTTTCGTTAATAATCCATGCAAAAACATGTCACCGGTGATGTGAAATATGTTTATTTCTTTCAGACAAGTTACGTCAATAATCGATGTATATTTAGTTAACGATTATTGATCCCTATGATATATATCAACAGCCAGACCTAGTGATATGTACAATCCTTGTGTGACTCTGTTACATGTGTGTCTGGCAGTTGTGTTACACCAGAGAGTACACCGACCACAACGGCAAGACCGGATACCACCTTGGCTGTGAGAGTGCAGGGGTAAATACATCACCATCAAGTGTATCATGTAATCATCTGGACAATTAATTACCTCTTTGTCATCACTATCATCAGTCAGTGTCTTTACCTCCTTGTGGTGGGGTATCCTCATGGTTAAAGCGTTCACTCTTCACGTCGAAAACCTAGGTTCCATTTCCCATATGGGAACAATGTGTGAAGCCCATCTCTGGTGTCACCCGCCGTGATATTGCTGGAATATTCCTAAAAGCGTCGTAAAGCCATACCCACAGACACACTCCTTGCCCTCCCCTCTGTCCAGTACCTATTCAGTGTCCATCCCTAGATTTCCTTCGACCTTCTGTTTGTCCATTGCCATCACTTTCAGCGCCAATAAATAGTGTCCACATTTGTTATCTTATTATCGATTCAACAGAAAACTATGATGTGGGGTCTAATTTGGTTTAAATATCTAAGCTTATTGTAAACATGGATTCTAGGTTTCAGTATGTCACTGCATCTTGTGGATCCCATACCTGCTATTGACATGTGTTGTGTACTTGTCAATGACTCATTCATGATTTGCAAAATGGTTGATTGGTGCCATGAAACCATTTTTATGGTTACTCATGTATCAAGTGCATAAGGTTAGACTAAAATGGCTGTTTGGCTAAGGAGGCGTTACCATATCATTATTTATCTACTTTTTAAATGGCTACAATTTCAAATTATAAATCTATGTATAAGTAAAGTGATCCTTAGCAAAGTGTGAGTAGTATATATTGCTATGTCATTCCTAGCATTCGTTCACTTGAAGAATGATTAGGACATAAACCTACTGTGTTGGAAAATCAGATGTACATAACAACATAACATAGCTTTAAATTTGATTTAAAACCGAACGCGTAACCAGTCACAATCCAGTATTTACTGGAGTCATGGTAGAATTAAGAATATATTGCGAGACGTTGTGTTTCTCCTGTTAAGTTGACATCCATTCATTTCCTCCTTTTACCAGTATCCATATTGCCGAATACTAGGTCTCCCATACTAAAGGAAAGTTTCCCTTTCAACGAACATACAGAAATCTTCTCATATCACTTCTGTAGTTCATCTTTGTCGTGTGTAATATTGTTTACATACAATACTGAAGATCAAAATGTTGTTAATAAAAACAGTATGATACTTTGTCATAACAACTTCGTATATTATGATGTGACGTTTCGGTGTAGATTCTTATACAGTTGTCAAGCAAGTGTGAAGTAATACAGTACAGAACCGACTTATATACAGCTAACAAGGATTAAGTAAAACAACATGCAGGTTAGAACCAAAAGATCTCAGACATCATTAAGTTACTGTCCTCATCACGACGTCGAGTGGGATAATGTAGCAATATTATCTAAAAAGAATCCTCCAAGACTTCACCAAAAGAAAACTGACAGAAGCAGTTCAAATCGCCTCCACCTCAAATGGGACTAGAATTTGCAGACCCGTGAAGGTCCGGGTTAGAATGAGCCTTCAGTAACCCATGCTTGTCGTAAGAGGCGACGAAAGGGATTGGGTGGTCAGGCTCGCTGAGTTGGTTGACATATGTCATCGGTTCCCAATTGCGCAGATCGATGCCCATGCTGTTGATCACTGGATTGTCTGGTCCAGACTCGATTATTTACAGACCGCCGCCATATAGCTGGAATATTGCTGAGTGCGGCGTAAAACTAAACTCACTCACTAGAATTTGCAATGGACTGACCAGGTTTAATTCGACAGTTGTGCCTGTAGTGTTTGGTGATGTTGGCATACACGTCTATCTATTTCAACCAAAGAGATCTGGAGGACCATGACATTAAACTGGGGTTCTAAGTCAACAGCGACACGAGGTGTGTGTGGTGTAGTACTGACAATATATCTTGATTCCCTTGAACCACCACCAAGTCATTCCTCCGTGTTGTGAAGTCAAATTAATCGCACGGTGGTGGCTTGTTCTGCTCTATAGGTTGTCCCCGTAACTTTGTGAAGTCTCCCACGAGATGTTACCAGTTTTCACTGTGAAAAACCTGACGTGGCACGACGCTAGTGATGCATGCCAGAAGATGTCGGCAGATCTTGTGTCTTTCAACACCCCTGAGGAATACCAGTTCCTTCAAAAGCACGCTCGTAAGTAGACATGGCGTTTTATACCAGTGGCGATCCTCAGCTAGCGAGTAAGCAAATTAAAATTTGTAGGTCTATCGAAGGGAAAGCAAGATGTGTTTAGTATCTTTCGAAAGCTTGAAATCCCTAGTTATCCAAACTGACAATGTCAGTCAATATACCATCTCGGGGTATTTTATAAACATTTAAAACAGTGGCATTGTTTTATTCGCTATCATCTTGAAAAATAATGATTTTGTTTGTGGAAAACTTTATCAGACCCGTGAAGATCCAGGTTAGAACTGATCTTCAGTAACCCATGCTTATCGTAAGAAGCGAGTAACGGGATCGGGGTGGTCAGTCTCCACGACATGGTTGACTCATGTCATCGTAGATCGATGCTCATGATGTTGATCACTGGATTGCCTGGTCCAGACTCGATGTACTTACTAACCGCCGCCATATAGCTGGAATATTGCTGAGTGCGGCATAAAACTAAACTCACTCCTCATGATATCAGAGTTTTCATACAACATGACGGGTATGTCTTGCCACTGTTGATCGCTGTCATTTTGCCCTCCTTCAGCTGCTGATACAATATCGTGGTTCTGGGCGGGAGGCTACTACCACAACACCTGGCAGTGGGTGGACGGGACTACTGCCACCAATATACAATGGTATACAGGCTTTCCTAAGCACGCTCCCAACGACACCGACTACCGCTTGGCTATTAACAACAAGACGCCAGAGAGGTTCACCTTATACGAAGCTCTCAGAACCAGCGAGAAACCGTTCATCTGTGAAAGGCCACATCTGTCTGCCTAATATGTTCACATCAGTAAAAGTACATTTCATCAAGGTTGTTTCTTGTTTCTACGACACAAGACTAACGGTATCGGGTGGTCAGTCTCGCTGACTTGGTTGACACATGTCATCGGTTCCCAATTGCGTAGGACGATGTTCATGCTGTTGATCATTGGGTTGTCTGGTCCAAACTCGAATATTTACAGTCCGCCGCCATATAGCTGGAAGATTGCTGAGTACAGCGTAAAACTAAACTCACTCTCTCACTTCTACGACACAGTGTCTAACTAATTGTATTGTTTTTCTTACCATAACTATAGCCTCGGGTGACTGTTATTGCTGTGGACGCTCCATTGAGAGAAGGAAGTCTTCTTTGGGTAAAGCAAACGTCCCGTAACACTCACTATCCACTGTTATAAACCCATACAAATGTGCACTTTAAACAAATAGTTTCTGTTTTTCAATTCGGTTCACGAGTAGGTAATCAGATTGTGATTCCATTGTGTTACATGGGATTACATTATAATCGAACTGACGTAAATCGATCTTATACTACAGAATAAAATGCATCCCGAAGTAACATCACTTGATGAATACAACTATACATCATATTAACTTACATTTATTTGTAGATGAACGAAATATATTTTTCGTTTCAAACATCATTTGTCTTTACAAAGGATGTATGCGCAATAGAGATTAAAGTACTGTAAAACCATTGACAGACTCACTCGGCGGGCTAGAAACAATAAAAACAAAAACATAGAAAGCAATCTAAACTAATAAATGAAAGGACAATAATCTACACAACGTAGTCAGTAGAGTTCAAATGTGGCCAAACTGGTACAGTAAATGGCATGATTCAAATTCTAAAGGAAAACATCTACTAAAAAAATCTCAGATACTACAAGTTTATTATCAATAAAAAAAATATCGGCAAGGCGATAACAAAATTACAAAGAAGGCCACATAAAATCAAATTCCCATCAGCATAAAATGAAAAAATAAACACCAAACGGGCATGTGTACACACTGCAGCGAAACAGAAACGCCCGAACATGTCCTACTACCAACAACACAGAATGGTGCTCCAGAGTTCAGTGGAAACTAACACTAAAACACATAGAAACAAATACCAACCACACCACCCTGTAGTTCAGCTCCCCTTCCACTTCTGGCAAGTTTCCAAATTCAAAATTATTCATCCGAGATATTTACGTCAATGGAAATCGTTGTTACTAAGTGTAACCGGGTTAGTGTTTGGTGGTCAATAAGTCAAGGACACTGGTTACAGGGCTGAGAACTTAATTTCTGATATTTACATCACCATGAAACAACACATGATCCAGTATACCTAGGATATAATGTAACCAGTTCAAACCAATAGCACATTCATACTTACATTCACATATACACTATCCTTTCTCTCATTAATAAAATCAATCGATCAAACATTCATCAAGAAATGGCATACCTGCAACGGTAATGCAATTGTAAATATACAAGCATTCATAAAATTGTTAAATGACTGAAAACTAATATGTACATGACTGTAAAAATACAATATTATGTATCTGTCACTCTAAGCATACTAAAACTACGGCATGTCTACGTGAGCTACAAAATACACATGAATACAAAATAATATATGATCTAGTTAAAGGCACTATATCACACCGCACTTCTCTAAAAATAAATATTGCATTTCTCTCGCAATAATTCTAACTATCAGTCTTCATGGAAGCTACCATATAATTTATTCCAAAAGGAAAATACATATTTAGATTACAATATTAAATTAAAAAGTTCGAATGAATTTATGCAACGTTGCATTGAATCTACTCTCGCGCCCTCTACCCGCCAAACAAATTTTCAAGCAAACCCCATAGAGATATGTCCCTTGGAGCGCTCTTTACGAATATTCTACACAGAACTTGTGATTGAAACCAGTTCGGTAAACACCGACAACACCGCGTACGACAGTTTTCGATGTAAGGAGCAATTGTTTACATTCCATATCTGGCAAGTGTTCTCTGTTTGGAAGCTCGTCGCCTCGAAGGTTCAATTATCGATTTCAGGCAAGTCGTAAGGTATAATAAGTTTTTTACTGCACCAATATGAACCTAAAGTGAGTGTATATGCCCTAATATATATATACTGTAGGCGAAAATATTTCAAAAACGTGTGACGTTGTGCATTTAAGGGCATTGATCAGTCATAAAGCCCTTACTTTCTACTGAATTTATCAATTTATCAATTCAATTTAATATTTTGTTCCGTTAGTGCAGGCCATCGGCCGAAAAATACCTACTTGTGTGTTCGTGGCACAGACAAGTGTTATAATACGATAAAATATTGACCTTCGAATTAGTGTTGCACAGACTGACATTGCATGATAAATATGCATTGCACGGTTCTTAATTAGGGTGCAGTCGGTTGGTCGACATGAGGATAATAAGCTTCGATGAAGACGGACGTAAGTAATACTTTGTGGGTATATAATTTTCACGTAAGTGGCCATACGAGGGTCATATTAAGAGGCAGTGGTACTCGTCTTCCACATACGCTTGTGGCATACGCAACAGAGTCTTTTATGTCTTTCAGTATTGGTATAGATTCCGGTTTCAATACTTTACTGATGTCAGAGACAATAACATTGGGCGATAGGAACCCTAATTTGTTTTATAGTTCACATAACGAAGGTATAGCTCTGTACCACAAGAGCCTTTAAAAAAGGAGTAGGATAAGGTTTTGTCACCCTTTTTAAGTAGACTATGCCAGTCTTGTTCGTTAATAAGTTTCAGATGAGATGAGAATTCGGATACGAAACATTTAGGGTGGGAAAGTAAAGTAGGTAGAGTAAGAGTGACACCTACATATTTATAAAAGAGACACAGTCTAATGTCATACCTTCAAAATACCACCGCGGCGGTGGGGTAGCCTAGTGGTTAAAGCGTTGTCTCGTCACGCCGAAGACCCTGGTTCGAATCCCCACATGGGTACAATGTGTAAAGCCCATTCCTGGTGTCCCCCGCCGTGATGATGCTGGAATATTGCTAAAAGCGGCGAAAACCAAACTCAGTCAGTCAGTCAGTCAAAATACCACCTTTCTTTACCTGATACAGTTCAAACTTTCTTAAAGACCATTACCTTAGTTTTGTCGACATTAATATCTAACCCTAGTCTATGCAAAGCCAATGCATTGGTACGCTTTTGTAGACCTTCAGATACTATCTGAGATAAGAATATTGTCGTCAGCAAATAATAGAAGAAACAGTTGTGTGATATCTGGGTGAAGTTGTACTATTGTTACATCTCAATAGCCAACTCACTAATGAAAATTGAGAAGAACATCCACGCGGCAAGGAAACACTTCTGAGAGCATTTGATTATATTAAACGCCAGCCGTCACTGGTGATATATATTGTATGGGGCTAACCACTTTAGGTGATACGCCTCTTTTCTTTCGCACTGACCATAATTTCACATGTCAACACTGCCAAAGGTTTTGGCAAAGTCAACGAATAAGCCATTAAAGTTACCTTTACGCTTTCCAAGATATCTTAGGACAGTCGACACAAGATCAAATATTTTGTCTATGGTGGAGTGATCGTGTCGAAAAAAACACTTGTGATTCTACAATCTTAGCGTAGAGTCACACCAGTAAGTTAATATTTTGTTAATTACTGAAACATAAGCTTACTCAATACACTTAAAAGTGATATACCCCTGTAATTGGATGTACAATTAACATTACCACCTTTGTGTAACGGCATAATAATTCCAACAGACCAGGTTTCGTTATCAAACATTATGTCAAAAAGTATTGTAAGATAAGGTACAAAACTATCAGAGGCATACTTATAATAATAAGCTATAAACGGGTCACTTCCTCCTGACTTGCCGCATTTTAGAGATTCAATGGCATTTATCACTTCATCTTGTAAGATAGGAGAGTCTGATATAAAAGAAGTCATTTCATCATAATTATAAGAATCCATGTCGATGTTAATATCATCATTGTCCTCTTCATCTGGAGAACAGAAAGAGTTCTCTAAAGTGACAAGACCACTCTTCTATGGATCTATCGTGTACAAGTCTTGACATACCTTGAGATAGCTCTCGAAATGTTAAGCAAAATGTTTTGCTGTTAGGTAGGCCGGATAATAATTTATTACTCATGTTATCATCGTATACTTTATTCTTATCATGACTTTTGTAATATATACATATATCTATTTCTGGCATTTAAATATGTTTTTAGGTGCGCATCACTCTTTCAGTGTCGGCGGCAGTATTTCAGCTATATTGTGGCTTGATCAAGTTATACAATTTCAAACATAGCATTTCAAAGTAAAACCTGTGAACAAAGGACAGTAGCATAACTAGATGATCACAGGCGTAGGTCTTAAGCCAGTATGTAAGTATTGAAATGTGACTGTTCATAACAATACAATCTAAAACTGGATCACCAGGAGCCAGAGTTAGGCCTCCACACCAGGACAGTGCCTGCAGACTCTGAGGTAACGTTCTCTTTCTGATCTAAAGAACTGACATTCAGGTTCAAACCATGGCTGTGAGTGGCTGTTAAATGTGTGTTGATAGAGTTGGCAGCATTACAAATACTATCAGTAAACAGGTTTATAGCGTCATGAATGTCATCAATACAGTGTTCAAGAACGTCAGCCACCTTTAGCAGTACTATATCATCTCTACACACACTTGCATTTTGTCCATGTCCCATATCCTGAGAGGATACATAAGTGCCCAAACATTTAAAGTAAATTTAAACTCACCATCCTTTTTAATCGTGAAATATATGTGCTTTTAAAATCTACGGCTAGATTTGTCTAAATTGCATATAACTGAATGGATGGTCCAAACCCAGCTAGGTTCCATGCAGGAAACATATGTACTGTAAGTCCCCATGGTCCCTAGTATGGTGATCTACCTTCAGTTGTTGGCAATCTATAGCCTATTTTTAGATTGTACCGTTACACTTAGAAATAGTGTATACATCTGTGATAGACTAGTTATTTTACTGTCCTTCACAG